TCCAAGAGACACTGGATTATCAAGCTGAAGACATTTTCAGGTCACTGCTTAGTGCAGAGGTGCTGAACTCATTTTTTATGAGGGCCAGATTTGACATAAAAGTCACTTTGCTGGGCTGGACCATGTGTGCCATAAAATGTAACGCAAGGTACCAGAACTATAAACTTTATAAAGATTATTTTAGATGCCGAATGGTAATAGGCTTTATTGGATTAGGTGTGATATGCAGATGGGTAGTCATTATGGAGAAATCATAATTGGTAATGAGATAGGAAACCTAGGTCTCAGTTTGGTCCATGAGGATTCAGTCCAAGAGGATGCAAAGAATAAATAGACATAAGTCTGCCACATATTTTGTTAGTCTTCAAGGTGCTACTGGACTCTTACTTTTTCTACAGCTATAAGAAACTACAATATTTAAAAAACAGTGGGGGGAACATTTTAACCTTCCAGGACATTCAGTTGCTGACCTAAGAGTCGTGGTTCTCTTACAAAGGATTTTCAAAGGGAGATTAGAAGCAAGACTGATCAATTGCAACTGATAATGAAGCTCGATGCATCCTCCTGGGCTGAACTGAGACCTAGGTTTCTTCTCTCTTTACCAATGGCTGCTATTGTTATTTGGCATCTGAAATCACTTCAGTTTCCAAGATATAAGGACAAATGGACTCACATTCTAGCTGTATCCGCAGAAGTGAGCAATGACTCTTGAAAGGTCATGCCCTGCCATAAATTTTGTTACTCATTAAAGTGCTACTGGACTCTTGCTCCCTTTCACTAATAAGGATTGCAAGCTGTGCTGTTAGGTTTCTCCCCCCTCCCCCCCCCAATCTGTTACAACTGGAATGGGGAATCTCTCCAGGTGAAATAATGTGTTGCTTTCAGACTGTTAGTGATGATAATAAAAAGTTCAAAAAGCATTGGGGCAGGTTAATATGAAGAAAGGCAGCCACTGGGGGAGGGGGAGAGAGGAAGACCACTTGTTAAACTGGAACATATGGAAGCATAAATGTATTTTTAAATACTTAGCAATCTACTTCCAGTAATTAAACCATGGAATCCAATCCAAGTGTTGTAATTTCTAATCAGGGTCTTTTTGAAATAAAATCCCAGATAGGCAAAGAGAAATTAATCTTTAAAAAAAAACCTTTTCAGAATAAGCCCAAATAATTTCCCTTTAATTCCCCTTATCCCAGCTGCATCTCTTTCCTGCCTCCCTTCCTTTTTTGAGTGTGTGTGAGATCAGGTCCCAAAGTAAACAGCAAAGCAGGGCTCAGAATAACCTCCCTCCCTCCCTCCAAAGAAGTGTGCATGCACAGGAAAGCTTATACTTGGAATAAAACTTCGTTGGTCTTGAAGGTGCCATGAGACTCCCTCTCCAAATGATGGAAGAGAGGCTAGGCAATGCAGCAGCAGCCTCAGAGATGGAAGCAGGAGAGAGCAGAGGGAGCTTTTCTCTGGTGCATGTACATGCACTCTCTTTTTCCTTCCTCCTCGCCTCCCTAGAGAAGGAGGAGAGGCAGCAGCAGCAGTGGCTGGGAGAAGGAAGCAGTTGCTCACAGGCCAAATACCAGCCCTGCAGGGGCTGCGTTTGGCCCACAGGCCTCATGGTTGACACCCCTGGCTTAATGGATGCCTCTCCCATTCAGAATTGTGCTGTGGGACTATCTCCTACTCCCCAGTGGGAGGGGTGTGTTGTAGTGAGTTCTGAATCAGTGCTTTGCATGTGCCTTTTGAATTGGTTAACACCGTTTTCTTGGACTCAGAGAGTAGACCATCTGGTCCAGAACCAAAGCGCAAGTTCGATGGTGATATCCAGAAACCCCTAGCTGTTGCATGCTGTTCAGATTTTTGCCGCAGATATTTATGCTTCTCTTTGTTTCCTGCATACCTTCTGTGCTTGGAAATGTATGGGCTGATGTCTTAGTTCTACAACTCCATCAGATAACACATAATAAATTTGTACATTAAAAAATGTTGTTCTCTAATTTGCTATTTGCTAAAAATACATTTGTCCCATCAGCAATGGAAGTTGCAATTCACATACGTGCACACACACCCATTTATTTCAGCGAAAGGGAAAGTGCTGTTTGTGCAACTCTTGTGCAACTCTTCCTACTGGAGTGAATGTGCATATGGAATTCTGGACTGGAAACATTGCTGGCATCCCTTAGAAATCCTTATAATGATACCTGGCACCCTTGAGGCGCTCCTTACTAGATCCAGTGTTGACAATAACTTTTCCCTGGGAAGAGGTCCCAGCCACGGCCCACAAAGCCCTGAATTACTGTTAGCAGTTCATTCAAAGAATAATTGAGGTAGTAAATTAATACTGTAACCATGAATATTAATCTTCAGGAATTATTCTTGTGTGCCGTTCTATACATGGTTTCTTACAGGTGGTTGCGTTTGCATTCTTGAGAATCTCCAATTTCATGTTCAGAACTAAAGCTTCCAGCCCTATTTATTTATGCATTTATTAAAACATTTATACTTTGCATTTATTTCTGGCTCAAGCCAGTGTGTAAATGTAGAGACAAGTTGTGAAACTTCTGTAAGCAGTCAGTGTTGGGGGTTCTTTTGAAAATGCCACTGTCAATGAGCTATATCTGTTGGCGTCTGTTTGCCTGTGTAAGGAAGGTTACTCTGGATTCCACCCACTGTTGTTAATAGTGCCTGCAGATATTTGAAAGGGTAATGCTCTCCAGTTGCCAGGTTGAAAGGGTCTGCTGTAATTCAAATTGTAAAAGTGAATTGTTGGCCTTCATGACCCGTTTCGTTTTGTAATATCCCTGAAATGTTTACTGCCGAACCCAGAGGCGACTTTTCTATGGAGAACTGTCCTAGCAGTGTTCGGAAGATCAAAGTACTAGGACTGGCCCTCCTACCAAGGCTTCTATTACACTCTCCCCCTCTGGCTTCAGTAAGAAGAAAAAAATTTAAAAAGCTTTGTGAATGCATGATTTGATTAGAGACTGCTCTGTTCCGCAGGCTCAAAGTATGCAGCACAAACATCTTAAATCTGTCATCCTCCAAGCTGTGCAACTGGTAAATAACTAGCACTCCAGTTTTATAGATGGAAAACACCCTGGGCTGTAGTGATTTTGCCCAAGCCACAGCATGAATTGTGTTTCCCATTTTAAGGATCGTTACCACAGGTGGGCTCCCAGAAGCGCCTCCTGTATCTGAAAACAGACTGTAGGGAAGCTTCCCCAGAGCTAGGCTGGGGCAAACGCTGGCATTGTGAGTCTGAAGTCAGAAGGTTATTTTTAATGCCTAGGAGTGACTGGTTGAGAGCCTTGCTTTGCCATGGCATACATATGCCACTTTTGCCTCACTGTACCTTGGCTTTCCATGGCCTTTTCTGATTGTTCCTCAAGTTGAGGGGCAAAGCTGAAAGCAAGACAACTGTGTATGTTGTCAGAGTTCGCAGGGCCAAATCCAGGAGGAATGGCCTTTCAGTTAGAATAGCACAGACTCCTGAACCTCAGGATGGTGGAAGCGTGAGGGAAAGGAGCTGCAGGCAGGATCCTGTGAGGCCCAGACAGAGCAGTTGGGTGCAGGGGCAGGCAAAGCTGAAATGGTGTGTGGAGCTATCTTTTGATCTTGGTTTCATCCATGAAACCAAGGTCCATGGTGAGCTCCTGGTGGTGGGGGGGGCAGGCTTACCGTCTACATCCCACAATATTAGTTGAACCCACTGTTAAGTCATCACAGGTGAAGTCTTGACTAAGGGCCTTTAGGAAATGGACATTTTTAACATTCAGCGCACTGAAGGGAGGTGGGGGGTGAAGACTGAATTTCCAGGTAATTCTTCCATATGCTTCAGTACTGTTTTTATGTGAAATAATAGTGAGCATGTATGTATGATTCTTTATAATAGAGTTTTTAAAAGTTTGGTCTTAGAGTGGTTTCTGACAGCCAGTGGAGGCGGCTGGGTTTTTTCTGTTCGACTTGCCTTGTGAACCAGGTTCTGGACTTCTGTCCATGCCCTTAAAACGACATGCAGCGAAGAGAGTCAGAGCTAACATTAAGATTGTTGGTGGACGACTGTAAGGCGCAAGGGTCTTTATGAACCTTAGAGCTGCATTGTTGTATGCAAATATTATAGACATATCTATATAAATAAAGTTGCTTTGACTGAAAGCTCTTTTTTCTGCTCTTATTTTTTATTGGGGGGCATTATTCAGTGATGTTGATGTGTCCGTATTGGTGCTGCTGGATTAAAGGTGAAGAACCTCTGGAATAAATAGTGTGTGAAAAATAATGACCTTTTAGGTTATACTTGTGTTCCAGACTGTGGCTGGCCTATTTGCTAAGCATCTTAATGGCTGTTAATTATAAGTTTTATTTTACAGCTTATCAGCCTCCAGAATGGCTAGGGAATTATAATTCATTCTCAAGTGTGTGCTGGTAGAGTAGTAAGAACTTGGGTTAACAATAGTCTTCTAATTCCCCTGTATCGCTATGAAGCATTGAGTTTTTAAATAATTTCTGACGTCTCACTTCAGAATTGGTCATATTGGCTCAGTTCACACATGTTTGTACCTAAGCATGGAGCTAGCTTAGTATCCCCTTGAATGCTTGGATTTTCTTTCTCCTTCTGTACTTTGTTCACATGCAAGCTGAGCTAACCATAGTTTGTAAGTCTGCTTTCCTGGTGGACTGTGATGTACACCAACCGTAGTTTCTCAATGTGTAGTGACAAACTGTGGTTTCTGAGGGATGGGAATAGAGGGAGGAAATACCATGTGAGAGGAGGGAACACTATCTAGAAGTTGTTTGGAATCCAAACTATGGATTAAAAGAACAATATGGTTATATTAATGCAGATTCATTTTCACAGTAGATTAATGATTTTTATCCATATTAATTTTAGCATTAATGTAACATACTGAAGCATTTTGACTGGGAAATGCCATATAGATATTATCATTGTTCTTTCCTTGTTTACTGAACTTTCTCCCCTTCCCTTTTTTCCCACCTCCCTTTTTCTGCAGTCTGGAATTCTCCCCCATGAGATGCATGACGAGAGGGAAGCTCCTCAGTTAAGTTTGCTAAGCGGAGGACCGTTTTTATTTTACTTCTTTTTCAGATCCAAGAATGGACATTGTAGCCGATGATGATTTCTCCAATCCACCGCTTCAGGGATATTGAGAGGAAACCAGAATACCTCCAGCCAGACCAGTGCATTCCACCTCCTACCCGCAGTTCCTCAGGAACAATGTGGTTTATTCGAGATGGCTGTGGTATTGCCTGTGCGGTCATCACCTGGTTTCTGGTCTTCTATGCTGACTTTGTAGTCCTCTTTGTTATGCTGATTCCGTCAAGAGACTATATTTACAGTGCGATCAATGGAGTAGTTTTCCACGCATTTTTTTTTTTTCCTGGCTCTGGCGTCGCATCTTCGAGCTATGATAACAGACCCAGTAAGTGTATCACTGACTTTGTTAACCGGCTGCCGTTTCTCTTATTTGGTATCTTTGGGTAGTTTTAATTATGTATATATATGTATGTGTATTTTAAAACTCGTTTTACTGTTTTTGTGCCAGGCAGCATGCAAATGGTAAAAATAAATAGTTCTTTTATGGTATTAGAGCATCAAATAAGACATTGTAGCCAGTGTTTCCTCTAAGCTGAGTTAGTGTGAGCTAGCTCACAGTTTTTTGAGCTCACACATTTCTGTCTTTATGTCAGCTAAGCTGCCATGGGGGTTGGGGAGGTCAGTTGTACTCTAATAGCCATTGCATTCCTTCTGTGTTTTTTCGCTGCTGTAACACTTATCTCTAAGTTCTGCAGGTGGTGGGATGTTGATGTCTAGTTCCAAGGGAACTGTGGGAGCGAGCTTGGTCCCCAGCTTCAGCGCAAATGGCCGGAGCGCCTTCTCCTGCATATGGGAGTGTGGCTAATTGGCCAGGGAAGTGGGGTGTGTGCATACGAATACCTTATATCTTATTATGCCGCAGGGGCAGCCGCCATTCTTAACAGTGCCTATGTTAATGCATCTATAGCTCTGCAATAAAGTATTACCTTTCCTGATAAGCATGTACTACGTTGTTGGCTGTGGGTTCTGACTCTTTGGAAGGATGGGTCCAGAGCAAACTAAGTTATGCAGGAGCCAAATTGCTCACTCACAGCTTTAATGCCAGTAGCTCACAAAGTAGAATTTTTGCTCACAAGACTCCACAGCTTAGAGGGAGCATTAATTGTAGCAGTTGTCAACTGTGGCCAAGTGGCAGAGTTTTCAATGGCCCCATAACTTCCTTGAGTGACATTTTTAAAAACCCAGCTGCTTTTTCTTTTCTTTTTTTAAACCACATATTGTAGCATGTTAATAAGTTAAACTGTGGTTGCCATAAGAGAACACAAAACAATCATTCCTTTTATATTTGACTGGCAATTGCCCTTGCTGTAGGGCTGTTCAGCACATCGCAGTTGCTGCCAGACATTTTGTATGTTAGCTTGTTGTGATTGTTAAAAATTAGTTGCTCGAACTTGGGGCAGCATTACAGACTTGAACATGTTTTGATTTCTGCTTTGTCACTGTGACACAGTGCTTTGTAAAGAGCTAACAGTATTTGTGCTCTGATTGTTAGTAATGCATTGTTGTCAAATGGAATTGCGAAGTTGAGAGAAAGAGGGACGATCCCGGGTTTTGATTTTTGCTGAGCGAGCATTTTCTTCAGAATAAGAAAAGAGGGACAATGCAGGCAAGAGTCTGCCCCCCTTTAATCAGTAGTACATATAAAATTAAGGGCACGTCATGGCCTGGAAAACTGAAAAGCTGGAAAAACCAGTCTTGCATGCTTGTCTCTGCAGACAAGTATAATTGCAACTGAATTGGATTGCGTATAAGAAGGGCTTCCTTTCAAAATGCTTGCTTTTCATGTTAGAACTAGATATTTGTTATTGGTAGTGCAAAAGTTTTAAACAGATGTGGGTTTAACTGAGTTCCCCCCCCCCCCAAGCCTTAAATCCTTCACGTGGCCATGGTTTTAAAATTTCAATAAATAAGCAGGTTTGAAACCTATTAATGTTTACTTTGAGTTTTTTGTTTGTGGAATCTGGGTTTTTTTCTCTGAACAGTGTTATTTTGAGGCTTAAGTATTGTAAATAGTAGTAGAGAAGAGAAAATGAAAGGGAGAAATCTGATCTGGCCAAGTTGATGGGAATTTTCCATTTCACTAAGCATACTATGCTTATGCTATAGAGTTCTTTGGGGTCACTGATGACCAAAATTTGTAAAAAAGACCCCCAACTTGTATCACTTCATGCTACATGTGTTCTTTACTACTGTAGAAGGGTCCGTTTTTCTGAAGGGTTTCCAAATCTTCTCATGTTTTCTGTGAGTGAAGGTTTCATTCAAAGGGTACTGGGGTCAATTAGACCCCAGGTAAAGTGACGGTGTGTACAGTTGTAAGAGCACTGTTGTTGTGAGTAAGCTCCATTGTATAGACCTGAGTAGGATTCAGTGTAGACCTGCTTAGAATTGTTTATTCATCCTGCCTCTAGTTATAGCTACTGTTTACTGGTGGCAGTATACATCAGCCACATTTATACAAATTGCTGTTAGAAAGTGAGGCCAGTAATTATGGATATGCCGGGTCAGATGTTTCTTCGTCTTCAAGTAGATGAAGTTGTTTTATGTGGAGGAATCTGAAGTACCTGAATCGGCCTTAATTGCTGTTTAAAAATGCAGCCGCATGGGTTCAGATCCTCATGAGAAGCAGTTTATATTCATCGGGTTCCTATTTGTTTATGGCAGTTTCATCCTCACTGTTACAGTGATGCTTTTTTCTTGTTCTGTGATGCCATTAAAATTGTTAGAAGTACGCAGGAAACTCGTGTCATTATGAGGCAGTGCTAAATGAGCATATAAATTGGGCCTCAGACTTTGGATTCTGCGACCTTCTGCTAAGTCTTCCTTCAGGAGGGAAAGGCTTCCCGCCAGTGGAGAATGGCTTCTTCTGATAAAGTGTTTGTTTGAGGAAGGCTTTCTCTGTTAGAAGACTCGGGGAAAGGCACCTTGGATCGAAGCCCCAAATTCGCTTTCACTTTCTAAGAATGTAAAAATAGCCCTGCTAGATCAGACAGACAGTCCATCTAAACCAGCATCTGTTTCCTCCCAAGCACCTTAGAAACCTATATCTGGGCTGTGAAGACCAGAGACTTCCCTTACAGTTAACCCCAAGCAACTGAGATCCAGTGACATACTGTCCCTGAACTTTTTTCTTTGTCTTCATGACTAAATGCTGCTGTTAGACATTCTCATCCATGAATTTGTTCAGTTTCCTTTTAAAGCCATCAAGCCTGTGGTCCTGTTTGCATCTGGTGGCAGTGAATTCCATAAGTTAGCCATGTGTTGTGCAAAAAAGTGCTTTACTTTCTTTCATCGGTTCTGAATCTGCCACCCATCAGCTTCATGAGGGAACCATTTTATGTGTATAGCTCCCCTCCCACAGGCTGCCTGGAAGGTCATGTTGTGCGATTATAGCACCTCTGAAGTTCAGCAAGGCACAAGGTTAAAGGGCAAGGAAGACCTCCAGACAAAGGAGCTGGTTCGGCCTCCCCACTCGCTTTGGGCAGTTAATGTACTGCCATTACAACTGAGAATCTTTAGCTTTCTAATGTTTATCTGACGTTTGTGCCTCTGTAGTTACGCCCCATACGGTTCGGTGCTGTCTGTGGAGGAAGAACAGGCTGATGGCCTTTGAGGAATCCCAGTGTGAGGAGGAACAAATTGGAAATCCCATCCCCTCAAAATCTCTCCCTTCAGGATTCTCTAAGATGTCAAGGGCTAGATCAGACTAATCCGCCCCTGTAATTTTCCCCTTTAATTCAACAGCTCTTAATATTCTATCCCTTTTGGATCATTTTCAGGCCACCTAAAGCCATTTGGGGGGGTTTATTTTTTTCACCAGCTTGATAAAGTCATTTTCCCGAGCATGGAGAGACTGCTACACTGCATGTAGCTTCCTTTCCTCATGTGTCAGGGGACCAGAAAGCTTCCTGTTAGATACGGTGATGATGTGCATTCATTCCCTTTGCTTGTGATGTTGTCTTTTTCATGGAGATGGTTTGCTGTTGGGCTGCAAGTAATTAAAAGAAAACCTTTTGAAGAATTCCAGCTCTTCCATACCATTTCTTTATTGGGGCCATGGCTCAATGGCAGAGTCTCTGTTTGGCATGCAGAAGGTCCCAGGTTCAATCCTCAACATTTCAGGTTTAAAAAGATTGGGTAGTAGAGGGTGTGAAAGACCACCACTTGAGGTCCTGGAGAGCCATCACCTAGCAGACTAGACATTAGCATACACTAAGGGTCTAACTCAGCATGTGTGTTCATTTTATAAAACTTTGATGCTGTGTAGAGAAGTCTGAGGCTGTGCTGACCAATGCTTCCTCTAAGCTGTGTGAGCAAAAATTCTACTTTGTGAGCTACTGGCTTTAACGTTGTGTGCAAGCGACTTGGCTACTGCGTAAATTAGTGTGCTCTGGAGCCATCCTTCCTGAGCTAGGACAAAAAAATGTGTGAGCCAGAGGCTAAAAAACTGTGAGCTAGCTCACATTAACTCAGCTTAGAGGGAACACTGGTGCTGACCCTCTGTATATAGTGGTTTTGTAATGCCGAGTTTTCCGATGGCAAGTGAGCATTCTGAAACCTCTTCTGTTTTCTTTTCCAGGGTGCAGTGCCCAAAGGTAATGCTACAAAAGAGTTCATAGAGAGTTTACAGCTGAAGCCAGGGCAGGTGGTTTACAAGTGTCCCAAATGCTGTAGCATCAAACCTGATAGAGCACATCACTGCAGGTACAGAAAGATCTGCTGTTGTTGTCTGTCATACTGATGACATCTGAATTGTTTCCTTTTCTTTACGATCTGTGGGCTGATCAGAGGTATCGTAATGACCAGTCTACAGTGGTTTATTTTTGTTGTGGAACTTCTTTCCTTCCTTCCATTGCACTTCAAATGAATGAATTTCCCAAGGGCCTTTAAGCAGGCGGGGTGATAAGATCCCCTCCCCTCCAAAAAAACCCTCCATGTCAAGGGGTAGTTTGGCTCCTTTCTTTGTCAGTGGATCTGTTTGTGAAGGAAGTCTGTACCCTACTTTACGTACTTGCTGTTCCTCCTCTTGATTCCTGTGCCGATTTTCATGCGTGTTTCTGTATAACACAAAGACAGCCGCATGGGAGCAAGGATGGATAAATGAAACACAGCCAGGTGCAAGTAAAACGAAAGGGTAGAATGATATTGATCTGGTCTGTGAAATCAACAAAGTCCAGGTGGATACTTCCCTTTGGGGGAAAAGAAAGCCAAAAACAAGGGAACTAGAAAACCAGCACCATGGGGAGAAGGCCGCTCTCATTAATGTGCTTGTTTTCTACTTGCATAAAGACAGTTTTGTTTGTTTTCTACAGAATATTCATTGCAAATGATATTTGTCACTCACTTGTAGTCTGAAATGGGATGGTTCGTTCTACTGTCTTTGGTTTCTGTCCGCTTGCTCTGCAGCTTGTGGAGGTTAGGGAGAAATGGCTTCCCGCCATATGATTCCCTTATTGTGCCCCTGTTCTATTATTTTTTATTTTATTTTAAACATTTCTGTGCCACTTTTTCACCCCAGTAGTGTCACCAAGGTGGCAAACATTAAACATTAAAATATTTCAGTACACACACACATACACACAATTGTTCAATAACAGTTATTGTTGTTAGATTCAGGTGGGTTGCTGTGTTGGTCTGAAGCAATAGAACCCAGTTTGAGTCCAGTGGCACCTTTAAGACCAACAAAGTTTAACTCTGGGTATAAACCTTTGTGCGCATGCGCTCTTCATGAAAGCGGATACCCAGAATTAAATTTTTTTGGTCTTAAAGGTGCCACTGGACTCAAACTTTGAGTTATTGTTATTATTCAACAATGGTTGGGGATAAGCTAAACAGAACCAAAAAAGCTTCACGCACTGGCATAAGACAAAAATGGAAGGAGACAGATGAATCTCCATGGGGAGGGAATTGCAAAGTTTTGGCACCATCACCAAGAAGGCCCTTTCTTGGGTTGCTACCCATCTAGCCTCAGATGGCAGGGGCACTTGAAGCAGAGCCTCCGAAGATGGGTGGAATGGACGGATATTATGCCTTGGGTTCTGCTCAGGTATCCTCTGGCATGAAAAGAAAATTAATTGATTTTGTGCAAGAAAAACATTTATTCCTTCAAGATTTGTAAATACATTTTTTTTAAAAATCCGCTTTTCTGAAAGAGAATTTTTATTTGTTGTTGTCTTTCCCCAGAAATGACAACACTCCTGTGCTATGTACAATCAAGCAGAAGAGGGGGGGAAATCATTTGATGCAGTTTTTTGTTCAGTGTTGGGAAAACTACACTTGTATACTTTTGCAACTTTATGCAACTGAACAATAGCAAAAACACAACTCCTTGTGTGCATTTTAGTATACATTTTGTGTACCCAAAGGAGTTCATTTCTTTTTGGTTCTGTGTTGCACAAGAGTACAGTTGTGTTCTTTTGCAGCTTAAAATTTAGAAAATCAGTATTTTTAAATACATGCATTGCTGTATGACAGAGGTGGTTCTTTCAAGGAATTTATTATTATTTTATTAAATAGGCTGTAATAAAGCTGCAAAAGAAACACAGTCATGTGGAACCACAAAATTCAGGGGAAGGTTTCGTTGTGGGAGAATTGCATGAGCTTCAGTAACAAAGGCCAGGCTTTAGGTATAGCCTATATTGGAGAATTTTTAGACTGTTGCATCCAAAATATCCATGTTTGAGCCATTCAAAGGCATTGGTTCAAAGTTTATCACTTATTAATGCTGCTCTAAATCTAGTTGATATTTCTTCAGTTATGGATGATGATGATGTATGTCAAAAATAATGTAACATCAGTATAGGTAACTCAGGCTCCGGTCACACGGGCAGGAAACTGCGGGGGGGAAGCGTGGCTGTTTGCCCCGAGGCAAACTAATGCGCGGTTAAGCGATCAGACCTCCTGTGGAGGTCCTGTGGAGGTTCCGTGGGTAGGGAGAGGTGCCGATCACAGGACACACCTGCGCGCAACGAAGAAGAGCATGGTGCGGCAAACTGGTTTTCTTTTTTTGTGTACACGACAAATGCGCATGCTCCGTTGGGTGCGTGTGCGCATCCACAGAGACTTGGAAAAAAAACCCACCTTTTTCGCAAGGGGACATGGGCGGGCGCCGGATGCCACCGGAAACACGATCAGATGCCCGCTCTTGCCCCGCGGTTTCAAGAAACTAGTACCTCCGAGGTACTAGTTTTTTGCTGCGTGTTTTCAGCGGGAAGCCTTGGTTGTGCCACGGAAGCGCTACGCTTCCCAGATGTGCCGGTGAGATCGCGCCCGGAAAATCCGCCTGTCTTCCATCTCTCTTGCGTGGCTAATGCTCCGTGTGACCACAGCCTCAGTAGCTTTTGGTAAAGGACCAGTATTTCCCCCGCACTTTGGTATCAGTAAAATGCTTGAATTTTCTAAGTGGATGGGATTCTATATAAGGTTATGAAGTTTATTATCTTTTTGTTGTTAGTGTTTGCAAAAGATGTATTCGAAAAATGGATCACCACTGTCCTTGGGTTAACAACTGTGTAGGAGAGAATAACCAGAAGTACTTTGTACTGTTTACAGTAAGTAGCTCACTGAGTATTTCTTTTTCCTTCTCATTCAGACCAGGGCACTGGAACATCTCAATGTCTTAAGATGCTGAGTTTTTGAAAACGATAAAAATGGATTTTTCCCCCGGTGGAAAGAGAGACAATTTGTTAACACTGCTACATGTTTGAGTAACGCAGCTAAAGAATGACTTTAAGCCATTAAAGTGTGTGTTACCATAGCCTTACTTTGCTTCATCTATTGTAAAACATTTAAAGCACTGTAATAATAGAGACCCCTTTTGGGTTTTAACAATGTCTCCCCCCCCCCCCCAACTCTGCCAAAGTGGCCAGGCTGTTTTAATAGAGAACCCCCCTCCCCAGTTTGCCCATTATATTGCAACAAAAGAACACAAGTGTTCCAATTATACCAGGTTTTTTCATTTACAATAATGTGTCAAGAAAATACTGAGAGGCTGGAAGCCCTGGCCGCTGTGTTTGTTGACTGTGGATTTTTTCTTTTTCCTTCAACAGTAGTATGTGATTTGCACCTCTTTCTTAGATCAGCTGTGCTATTTCCTGTGGGCACACTTAACACTATTGTTGTAGCACTTAACGCCACTGTTATTCAAGACTCTGTTAGCTGATTAAACAGCCAGTCGTGTCTAGTGGTTAAAAAGTCAGACAAGGATTGGGAGACCCAGGTTCAAATCCCCACCCTGCCATGGAAGCATCCTGGGTGATCTTGGGCCAGTCAGACACTCTTGGCCTAACCCGCCTCACAGGATTGTTGTGTAAAACAGAGGAAAAGAGAACAATACAAGCTGCTAGGTAGGGTATAAAAAAAGTAAATGAAAACAATTTTTTGTTTATTCGTTTTTGAAGAATTGGGGTGCCAGGCTGGTAGTGGTCTTACTTTAGGGGTAGGGAGTCAGACCAGGTTGCCTCTGGCCCGTTCCATTTCTGATTCTGACTCAACAGTAAAATAAATTATTCCATATTACTGTAGAGTTGGTAATTGGCCTGTAGATGCAAAACATTACCCATGCACAAAAGGCTCTCATCTGACTTGAAGTATGATGGGGAACTCTTAATTTGCTTTAATCATATGACATACATTGTGAAAGAGTAGATGCTTTCTCCCCCTCTGCTCTTATCACATAATTCAGTATTGTTAGGGAAAATGGACCTCTTGTTCATTCAGTCAGTTTACTCCAGGTACTTTTCCGCTGGATATGCATAGACCTATTCATTCTCTAGCTGAAGTAATTTAGGAGATGAGGCTGAAGATAAGGGAATCTTTAATCATGAGGGAGAGAATAATGTTTATCTGACCTGAATGCCATCTTGGATTTCAGCCTCAACTAAAAATTGGCACCCCATCTTGGCAAAATTGGTATATTAAACTCTCAGAGTATGGCTTTCTTCTGCCTTAAGTATACAACTTTTTATTTCCTTTTACCTAAGAAAGGGAGCACAGGGATCCTGCCAAGGGTTACGGGTGGCAGAGGAAGAGGATGATTCTATTGCTGTTGACTTTGATATGGAACAATATAATCCTCAGTGGGAAATAGCCACTGTATATTTTCATTTAAAACATTTAGTTATTATCAGGTTGTTTTTTGTAGAAAAAGCCCAGCAGGAACTCATTAGCATAATAGGCTACACCCAGCAGCAGAAAGTTATTAGCATATTAGGTCACACTCCTGCCAGCTTTAATCATGAGGGAGAGAATAATGTTTATCTGACCTGAATGCCATCTTGGATTTCATCCTCAGCTAAAAATTGGCACACCATCTTGGCAAAATTGGTATATTAAACTCTCCGTGTATGGCTTTCTTCTGCCTTAAGTATACAACTTTTTATTTCCTTTGACCTAAGAAGGGAGCACAGGGATCCTGCCAGGGGTTACGGGTGGCAGAGGAAGAGGATGATTCTATTGCTGTTGACTTTGATATGGAACAATATAATCCTCAGTGGGAAATATCCACTGTATATTTTCATTAAAAACATTTAGTTATTATACATGGGAGATGTTTTCTTAATTTTAATAGATGAGCCACACTGGGCAAGAGGAAGGTGGGACAACCTGGCACTGCTGTGGGAAAGAGATGGCAGCAAAGATATGCCCCTTTGAGCATCTTTACACTTATGGTTAATCAAGATCCAACTTCTTGTAAGCCAGTTACTTCTCAGCCCTGGCTCTGACTTGGTGGAACTCTCTGCCTACTAACATCAGGGCCCTGCGGGATCCATTACAGTTCCGCAAGGCCTGCAAGGCAGAGACTTTTTGCCAAGCACACGGTTGAGAACAGCAACAGATTTTAATGGTTTTTAATGGTTCTTAGAAGCTTTAACATCTAGCTGGCTTTTAACTACTTTTCACCCCTTTTCCGCCATGGTGATGTAAATTGAGGGGGTCAGGGATTTATATTACAGTGCCATGCAGATGTTTGGTTTTACAGATTGGGACCGCCTTTCCCCGTATGTTCCCCCAAGAGCGCTACGGTCTGGGGCCCAGAATTTTCTAACCGTTCCGGGCCCCAAGGATGCTAGATTGGCCGTCACAAGGGCTAGGGCCTTCTCAGTGGCGGCCCCCACCTGGTGGAACGAGCTCCCGGAGGAGATCCGGGCCCTGCGGGACCTGGTGCAGTTCTTCAAAATGTGTTGTATTTCAGATGTATATAGCACTGATATCGCTGCATGCCCTGATCATGGTTGGATTTCACTTCCTGTATTGTTTTGAAGAAGATTGGACAAGTGAGTAATAACAAACATAACACTTCCAAATTAATTGGACTCAGTACTTTAGTTTTCGGGTTAATAAAAGGAATATCAAAGAAACACTTATTTCTTAGGATTCAACTGGACAAGTGAGTACTAACAAACATAACACTTCCAAATTAACTGGACTCAGTACTTTAGTTTTCAAGTTAATAAAATGAATGTCAAAGAAACACTTATTTCTTAGGATTCACATGGGAAAAAAACCTCTTCAGACACTTTCAGTGCAGTCCGGAGCAGAAGATCTCCTTTCAGTTCAGTGGGCTTATAAGGATGTAAATCTGTTTTAGGATTGCAATGTTAGTGAGGAAACATGTGAGCAAGTGGCTCCTTCATATAGAGAGAAACCACGGTTTAGCATTACTTCTGAACTTGTAGGTGCGTGTAGCAAATGGAATGCGTAAAGTTTCAAGCCTAGGCCAGAGCCCCGGAGAGCACTTAATTGGGAAAAAAAAGGTGGAGTTTGGGGGTGTGACAAGAAATAACCTCCTAGGACTTTATTTAGCATGCAGACCATCAGGTAAACTTTATGATGATGAAATGTATTAAAGAGAGGCATGTGAATTAATTAAGTCTTGTGATCATAGAATGCACAGGAGATCAAACCTAGGGCAGAGCCCAGGGGAGCACTTAATTAGAAAGGGAACCTGCGGACCATCACAGCATGAATTTGCATTCAGATCAGTGGCAGTAATGATTACCTCTTAATATTTTGCATCATTGGAAATAGCTCGCCAAGCTAACATGGTGTGTGCCAGCTGTGACAGCTGAAAGGTTGTGTATGTGTTTTTAAATAGTAGACTCTTTTCCAATCATGCCCCTATTTGGTGTGTTGTCCTAACAGCTAGAATTTGCAGGGATGATACATGTGGTCATATCCATCCCCTATCCTCCCCCAAAATTCTGTACAAAGTAAGCAGTTCTACACCTGAAAAAGCTCGCTTTCTGGAACCTGTATATATTACACAAAATAAATATACTTGATAATAGCTGTCTTTTCCTTTGTATAAGTAAAACAAAAGTTCCATTCTAAAACTTTTGTCCCCGGTTAACCCCACTTTCCTTCCCCAATTCATGTCTCTGAGATTTTGCTATGCCTTGACTATTCCTACGTATTTTATTCGCTTCTTGTAGTGGACTCACGATTTTGCCATGTTGTGTTTTCACAGAGTGCAGTTCTTTCTCTCCGCCGACTACTGTGATCCTCCTTATTCTCTTGTGTTTTGAGGCTCTCCTTTTTCTCATCTTCACATCTGTAATGTTTGGAACACAGGTACATTCCATCTGTACCGATGAAACGGTGAGTGTTTCCTGGTCTCTTGTTCTGTACCTTATTTTATATTTAAAAGATCTTGGACACGTAGAAAAGTATTAGCATATATAAATAGGAATGTTTCAGAATAACTGAAAAAAGATACAGCGCTAACAAATAGAAATTATTTTTGAACATCCATGTGAGGAGAAACGTAAAACATAATCAAACATATTTCAGATATGTAGGAAAGATTCTCTATCTCCTTGGCATCTCCCTTATATATAAAAGCCGAATGGTGGTGGCACTTCTCTAGAACATTCCACACGTTCCGGAATTGGTTGGCGCCCTGGTGTGTCACTCAGAATCTGTCCCTATCCACTGGCTGCATTGCTTGAGTCTTGCCTCCAACATTCTAGACAGTTTGCTGTCCCCCCCCCCAGCCAGTCAGAACACAGAGGTTATTTGCATATGCAGCCTCATTGGCCTTTGCCTCGGAACACAGAGGTCGTTTGCATATGTGACTTAATTGGCTTTTGCCTCTAACATTCTAAACAGTTTGCTGTTCTGAGGTAAAATGTGTCCAATCTCCAGGTGAGGGCTGGAGATCACTCAGAATGCTTTCCAGATGGCAGAGATCAGTTCCCCTGGAGAAAATGGTGGGCTCTGTATCCTTATATGTTGCTGAGGTAGCCCCCGTATGACAGCCAATGTGACGTAGCAGTCAGGGCTTCAGAGCACGGGAGAGGCTGCAGGTGTGTGGGGGGGTGGAAAGCTGAAGAGTGAGGGGATAATAAAGGTAGGTTGATGATTGGCTGGGAAGGAGATAGGGTTGCCAACTCCAGGTGGGAAATTCCTGGAGATGTGAGGGATGGAGCCTGGAGAGGGTGAGGTTTCAGGAGGTGTGGGACCTCGGGCAGGTACAAAGCCATAGACTCCGCCCTCCAAACCAACTATTCCCTTCTGGGGAACCATAGTTGCCAATCTCCAGGTGAGAGCTGGAGATCACTCAAAATTACAACTGTTCTTTAGGTAGCAGAGATCAGTTCCTCTGGAGAAAATGGTGGACTCAGTGTCATTATACCCTGCTGAGGTCGCCACAGCAAATTGACACTGAGTGTCCAAGGCCGGAGCACCTGCCCAGAGCCTCTTTCTAGAGATTGTTGTATTTATTTCCACAACAGGCCTTTTTCCTAGTTTATATATATAGCACTTTTGAAAGTGGGGATTGCCTTGTGTTTTTTCATCCCATAAAATAAAGAAACTCAAAAAAACCCCTCTAAAATGTTCGATGGGGATATCCTTCCAAGGTCCTGTTTTGCAATTGCTAAAGTTGTTCTTCACACCTTTACATGGTGATATGTAAAGGTGATTTGAGAAATGTGGAACACAGCAATTTTTATGCAGGTTCAATTTATATTTACCAGTAGACGAACTGCGTCTTGTAAGTGATTGTCTCTGCAACTGTCTGCTTCAGAGAAAGGAAATGTGTGCTTACAACTCTTAAGATTGTCTCTTGAGATTGCACACAGAGGAAGGCAGTGGTGTGGTCTTTGGGCTTTACTTGGGATACTTTTGCAGGCTGTGCTAAGAACATCTACAAGGAGTCACTGGCTGAAGATGTAATAAACTCTGTTAATATGTGACAGGAAGAGGGGTGTGTTTTGAAGAGCCTGCAGCAGTAATTGGTTGTCCTTCTACCTTTGGTTCTGCTGAAATCGAAAGATGTCGCTTTTTGCAGCATATCCAGCTTGTCCTGGATGGTTTTCTGGAGAACATACTGCTGTGAACATCGAAGCAATGACCCAGCAAGCAAACAAAATGAACTGGTTGTGCCTGTTGACTTTTCATTCTGAAAACGATTTCAGGATATAACTCTGAGTGGCAACTCAGTAGTGGATTTCAAAAGGATGAGCTGGAGATTCCTTTAGCAACTTGCTGATGATCACCAATTATTTCATCATCCTTTGTTGCCATCTCCATGGGAAGGAGAGGGTGTATTTTTTAAAAAAAATATTTTTTTTATTTTATTTCAACTTAAACAATACACAAACTTTCATGGTTGTCAACAACAATATTACACAGCAAGGTAACTGCATAGGTTTATACAAGCTTCAAAATAGATTACATGTGGTGAAAAACATCATAATACTTTTTAGAACATTGAATTTAGAGAACTCGGAGTTAAACATATGTTCAAGAAAAGGTAACCATTTCAAATGAAGGTTAGGATTTTTACCTGAGAGATTTGTATTGACTGTTACCTCGGAAATTTTATCCATGACATAATGATCCCATATTTTCAAACGCCATGAGGACAGTAATTTTTTTTCCTGAAGCAAATGGCTTTATGCCAGCGAGTTCGTATTTGCCTAAATCTGCAATATCAGCTCTTGAATCCTATTGCCCTATCCCTTCATAAAGACAAAGCTAATTTTTGTCTTAAGTTTAGCTCCCTAGCAGTGTAATCCTAAACAGACTTCAGCAGTGCACTCTTAAATGGTGTAGCTCTGCTTAGGATAGCATTTTGAGATGGCTAATCTCTATTTTACTTATTTTACTTTGGGGGCCCAAAGTAACATACGTTGTTCTAATCTCCTCCAGTTTATCTTCATAACAGCCCTGTGAGGCAGGCTAGGCTGAGAGTATGTGACTGGCCCAGGGTTACCAAGCATGCTTCCATGGTAGTATGGGGATTCAAACCTGGGTCTCCAAATTCTAATCCAACTAAGGCTGCATTCTGCTGTTCACATAATTTGGGAGTAAATGCCACTGAAAACAATGGGACTTACCTCGGAGTAAACATGGATAAAATGGGGCTTTAAGTTTCCTGAGTACCAAAAAGCAAGACATTTGTTATTGACACCTGAAGCTGGGGGAATACGGATTAGAGGGTGATTTTTTTACCCTGCATTCTATTACACTGCACTGTTCATTTCTGCTAATGATGACCGCACCTGCATGGCATATTGCACTTGCCACAGGAACCCCTGTTGCAGATGGCTCATGGGGTGTTGACGTTAGTGACTGATCATTTGCAGAAGGCTGAGATCCAGTTCCTTGTGTGGATGCTGTTCTCTGCGTCATTTGTGTTAGTAGCCGCAGGTACTAGAGAGGGGTATGAAGTTCTTTCCTCTTAGGGCCTATTGTGCTGTGTGACAGGACCTACATGCTGAGGCAGGCATAAGGATATAAGAGGAGCCCTGCTGGATTAGACTATGGGCGCTTGTAGCCAACCTGGAACACCTACAAGAGAGCATGAAGGCAATAGCACCCCCCTGTTGTATTTTCCAGCAACTAGTTTTTTTGGGGGGGATTGCTTGGGAACATGGAGGTTCAATTGCGCTGATGAGGTTAAATAAGCTGGTGATATACCTGTTTGTCATGAATTTGTCTAAATCATGTGGCCATTACCATATCCTGTAGCAGTGAAGTCTTCAACGGTTGTGTGAAATAGTATTACTTTTTGTCTTTTCTGACCTTGCGACTGATCAGTTTCATCAGCTAACCCCCACAGAGGAAGGGGAAAAAAATTCTCTCCCTCCCATTCATAACTTTACAAATCCTCTCCTTTTTTGACTGTTGTGAATAAGATTTTTTTTAAAATCTCCACAGGGGAGGTGCTTCAACGTTTTGTAGCTCTTTTTTCCAGTGCTGCTAAATCCCTTTAAAGCTGGGGCCACTAGAACTGCATACAGCAATTCCATATATGGCTGCAGCATACACGTATACAAAAGGCAATGTGATGTTGGCAGTTTTCCCCAATCCTTTTTCTAATAATTCCCATTTATGAGTTTTCTGCATTTCGCTGGGAGCTGAGTTGTTGCTTTCAGGGAACGGTCCACCATGACAGTCACAACTAATGCAGCCACCATCAGTGTGGATACAAGTTGGGATTTTTAGCCAGCATGTGTTATGGTACGCCACATACATTTGGATTGTGTTCGCTGTTTTGCCACCTAGCTGTCCATAGAGTCATCTTCTGAAGTTCTTCATGGTCCACCATCTTGAATAATTTTATGCTTTCTGAAACCATGGAGAATTTGCTGCTCCTGCCTTGACTTCAGGTCATTCCAGTTAAAGAGCACTGCTCCTAATGCAGACCTTTGGGGGGGGGGCATCCCCCAAAATGCTGCGTGCTGTTATGAATCCATAACAGGACTAGTTGTCTTATACCATGGCTTCTTATGCAGGATCCTTTTGTAAAGGACTATCAAAAGCTTCTTGGAAGTTCGAGTGTGTAATACCTCCTGGCTTCCCCTCATCTTGGTGACTGTTGTCTCTTCCATGTGTTTAATAATTCTAGTAATCACAGTGCTTTCTGTCATTTAGAAATTGTCCTGGATCTTCCTCCTCCCATATTCCTGTTTAAATATTGGGTTTACAGTGGTTTCCTTCTGATAACTTTGCTGAAGTAGCTGATTTTTTTTGTGAAAAATTAAAATCACAAATTTTGCATGTTCGTTTCTCTAAGGACTCACATATGAATATTATCTGGCCCTAGAATGTTTAATTGTAACTGTAAACTGTGCCTTTGTTATCTTTATCTGATATAGCCACTCTGAAGCTCTTCACCCCCCCCCCAATCATGATTCACATATGGGTATCTCTCCACTGTCTATCACAGTGATGACCAATACCACTTTAATTTCACTTCCCTGCAGCCTCTCTGCCTTCCTTCAGTAATCCTTTTACAACTTTCAGTACAATCCTAAACAGAGTCGCACCCTTCTATTCCCATGGATTTAGAAAGGGATAAATCTATTTAGGATTGCAGTATTTGTTTTATGTCTTCTTTCTCGTGATGTGTGTACAGAAACATTTGTTGTCTTTGTTTATGCCTTAACGCTTTGCTTCTCAGATTCTTTCATTGCTTCCTTTATCAATTTATACTCTTTTTGCTGGCATTCATGTTTGTATTGTTTTACTTTTATTTGGACAAGATTGGCACTATTCAAAGGAACTCCCTTTTCCACTCCTGACTTCCCAAACTGACGTCCTCTTGGACTTGTTCATACCCATTCTAATCTGAGGTGCATGTTTTATCTGAGCCTCTATATAGTAGTTTTAAGTAATTTCCAATGTTCCAGAAGGGTATTAATTTTCCTGACTTCCCCATTGGGCTTCCTTTTTGGATTGTCCCCTCACTTTTCAAAAATCCCTTCTTCCAAAATTAAATCCAACCATATTGGAAATTCTGTTCAGCGTATATATGGCTGAGGCCACTGTTCTTAGGTGGTTTATATCTCATATAACTTGAGTGTTATCTTTTGACTGTGTCTCTGATTTCTTACTTTACTGCGGTTGGGGAGTGGAAGATATGGAGTTTTTCCCAAGCTAGCCTGTGTGAAAAATATAATTCTTGACCCTTACATTTTTTTCCATTTGTAACTATGAAAACTGTGCATGTGTGAATGAGGCTTTTGAATGCGAATGATAACACTGAAGGAATTAACTAACAATCTGCTGCTCAAAAGCTCTGTATTTTAGCCTTCACTAACAAAATGTGATTTTTTTTCCTCACCCATTAATATGCTCATACTTTATCCTCCAATTCTTTTCTCTGCTGGCAGCCTCTGTTTGCCCAGTCTGAAGCTTACAAGCTTCAAAAGCCATGCCTAAAGCTGGGCTGTTTCTTCAGCTGCTACTACAGAAACTGGCAGCTATTGGAGGACGGGGAGAATAATGAGGTCTCTTCATACAAATGTAAGACTGCCTCATCAAGCTGTTCTTGGGATGAAGGCATTGTCACTTTTTCCTAAAATTTCATGAGCATTTGTATAATTTTTCTCTCAGCTTTATTTATGAATTGTACAGGTGTGGGGGGATTTTTCTTATTTTTACAGTGAAAAAAAAATGGAGACTTTCAGGAAATGAATCTGGTAATTTCCTGTTCCAAGCAGTTGATAAAGGGTAGTTTTAAAAGGGGTCCTTTTCCCCGAAACCAGAACTTCAAAATCAAGTTCCTGACTGAAAATGTCATATTTCTGTTTTCAGGGAATAGAACAATTGAAAAAAGAAGAGAGAAGATGGGCTAAAAAAACAAAATGGATGAACATGAAAGCAGTATTTGGCCATCCGTTCTCTATAGTTTGGCTTAGCCCATTTGCTACTCCAGACCAAGGAAAAGCAGACCCATATCAGTATGTGGTCTAAGAATTCCTGAACAGCATTTCCACTAAAACAAAAACCACATTTACAGCACTACGGTCATTTTACATGAATGTTTCAAAGGAAAAGGCAAAATCTTTTTTTATATTAAAAAAGCCTATTAAATGGCTGGACACTGCAGCGAAAAGAAAAACAAACCACCCTGTATTCTGAAAATTTTCAGTAATTCTCTCTCTCTCTGGTGGCTGAAGCTTTTTAATTTTTTAACTTGTTAACTTCACTGGCCTGTTTTTTTTTCCCTGTCTGCTTTCTGTATGACATAACTAATGTAAAGGGGAATCTCTTCTCTGAACTCACCTATATTGACTGAGTATACACCGCAGTCGACATCTGAGACGTTCTATGACAACAGTCCCATCATCCTGCATAAACATGGATTTCTTGGAAGGCAGACGATGCTTCCAGCAGTGGGTCTTTTTCTTTATGGTATTTTCCCCGCTTGCGTTTAAGCATCAGGTGCTAAGAACTGAAAGATGGAAGACGGGGCCATGTGGCAAGGGGGCCAGTTAATAATGATGGTTAAAACCTCGTCTTATTTTGAATGCGCCTGGTTACAGCAAAAGGGTTTTATCTCCCATGCATTGTTTGGCACCATAGCGTTTCCTGTGTAGCAGGAAATGTTGTCTTCCTGGGTTAAATGATGGAGTGTTTTATATGTATGGATTTAAATGCCTTACTGTTGGGGATGCAGGAAGAAAGCTTGAGCCAGGTAATGTCCACTGGTTTAAACAAAACAAAAGAGAGAGAGGCTAATGAACAGTGTTCACATGTAGAAGTGACTTTCAGGCCCAGACTTAAAACCCAAGCACAGAAAGTTTTGGTAGATGTGTCAGCGTTGTCTCACCCTTCCCCTCCCCATCCCTAGCGTTCCCAGTCTTTTATAGCTCTGTAAATGTTTATTCTCCTTTATATTTATACATATTATATATTTTACATTGGGGAAAATGTCAAGTGTTAAAGGTTTGTGCATGCCTTCTGTCATGACTGTGTGGATGGCAAACTTTGTGCGTAGTATGAACCAGAAAGTTGGAAATGTAGGGAGGGCATTCCTTTAAAAACAAAAACGGGTAAGACTGATGACACCCAAACTGACTGAGCTTTTGTATTTGGGCTGGGGTTTTGCTACATATTTCAGATCACCAGTGTATGTGTGTGGGGAGTGGGTGGGGGGAGTAGAATTACCTACTGAATGGGAAGCATCCGAGTAATTTGCTGGGAAAAGCCCCCAAAACGTAGAACGGCAAATAAGCTATGCTCCTGAATTTATTCTTTCAGCAGAATCAAAGCCATGGGGTGGGAGGGAAGCCAGTGGAGGAGGATAATGGATCTGTCTCATTTTGAAAGTAATGTGAATGCTGCATCTTTTCAATTCTGTCAATGCTTCCATATTGGGGGGAAAACCACAAATGCAATAAACCTTTTCTGAACACTATTTCTTTGTCTTTTTTTTAAGAAAAAAAGGTTGCCTCTTTAAATTTCATTTGCAGCCCAGGTAATGGAAGGACAGAGTAAATAATTAGAACTTGAGCTTTAAGTAATGGAGCCAGTGTCTATAATCAGTAATACACTGTTGGCTGCTTCACTCACTTTTAAATTAGCTGTTGACTGTCCAGCGAGTGAACAGCTATTTCTGCATCTGAATCTGTCCTATATCTATTATTGTTTTTTAAAGCAGCTCTCCTGTAGAAATGCACATGGTGGATTTGCTGGCCTCACTGCGTGCTTAATAAGTAGTATAAATTTCTTTTATAACTTTTTTACATTTTTTCACATAACATTTTACATAATCATAAACATTAAAATGACTATAAACAGTCAACAATAATTAAACACAGCTTATATCTTGATATTTAAACAAAATATATTAAATACAAAATATATTAAATTAACTGGTTAATAAAACGCAAAGTCAAAATATTTTTTAGGTAGAGCTCTATGTTCATTCTTCATGGTATACTGAAAAAAGGAAAACCATTTCTCCATGGTTTTCTTGGGGGAAAAGATGGCTTTAGAAATCATGTACTTTTAGCCATTGGGCAAGAAGAAAGGACTCTTTCAAGCATCATCCTACAAATGATATGGAAATAAGTTTTTGCCGAGTTGCTGAAAATTACTTCTAAGTAGCTATACACAAGGTTTCAGCTTTGCTAATCTTGTCCAGTGGTTTCTTTTTTATAAGAATGCATTTCTGTTGTTTGTAGGACTTGGTAAATGATTTAAAATGGTCCTTCAGGCCCTTCACTTTCACTCATGGGAACAAGTCAATTTGCCAGACCTTCCATAGATCTTTACCATGGCCTTGAATTTCAGCATGATGCCATCATCACCTTTGACGCCATACTGACTTTACAACAGCTGTGTCCATATTATACTATTTCTAATTTCCACCTATTTCCGGGTTTCCATGCATTATGTAATAAGGGATGCTCCAGCATTCTTAAGAAAGTTACCAGATGACAGAAGAAAAACCTCATGGTAAATAATCATATATATTCTGCAGAGAGAATCTGAATCATTGGTCTATGCCCAACAATACAGTCTTAAACAATACAGTAAGTATGCATAGACCTGCAGCTTTGGAGATGCATTCCGGCAAGCAGTTGGGTATGTCTGGTGGGACACAATGATAAAATATTCAGTATAATATTAAATAGCTTTCTGTGGATTTTAAACTGAAGTATCACAAATTCTGCTGTTTAAAGAAGAGTCTTGGGGGCACTTTAATAACTTGTGAGTTGTGGTATGAGCCAGAGCCTGTTTTGTCCAATGCATGAATTGTTAACACAGCCAATTTCTGCACATGTGTTTGTGTGTATATTTATATAATTTCACTCTGTATTTACTATTTTGCAATTGGATCTATGTTTTACTCTATTCATATCTACATTATCCTGTATGTAAATTTAGTCCAAATAATGTATATTGTGCATTCATGTATGCATTGGGCTCCCTATTCTATGGATATATCATTTTCTTACATTTTTTACAAAGTAATATTTAAATTTAAATTTTTTCCTTTGAAGTTCTTTGAGAATCTTTTTTGAAAATGGTTTTGTATCCCTATTTTGGTCAGATTTTTGAGATGGATAAACGGGAAGGAATAGTATTATGAATAGCAGAGTAGAGGTGCTTAAACTTGAGGTGATGTGTTTGGAAGCAAGACTTCATGAAGGACTCCTGTTGTGGTGCACACTCAGCCCCCAATCTTGCACACGTGGAAAACAAAAAGCGCAACTTGACATGGTGCTGGAAGTAACACGCAGGGCATACTCAAAATGTCCCCCTTCCCCAAATAAATCTGTGTTGGAAAAATTAAAAACAAACCCTTAGAAATTTACCAAGATATAGGAGGAATGCTTATAAAAAGTTGGCGCATTCACAAGAGCTTGACGTCGTTCCATTTGCCATTTTAAAAAAAACCTCAGAAAATGCCAGCTCATTGTGAATAAGTCACAAAACGTTGTGTGAGGTGTGACTGATTCTTTGTGGAGCAGGGCTGGTGAATGCATTTCAGTACATAAAAAAACAAGCCTAAGAGCTGGAAGAGAGAGCAAGGAGTCTAGTTCAACCTCTGCACAGTGCAGGAAATTCACAGTTACTCCCCCGGTGACCCCTGCTCTGTGGCCAGCTGAAAGCAAAACACCTCCAAGAGGATCCCTCCGTCAATCTGGCCTGGGGGAAGATCTCTTCACCATTACTCTGGGCATATAAGAAAGAGCAGAGCACTGGGTCATCCCTCCCTGCCCTCCCTCACACAACCTGCCTAAAATCATGAGTCATAGAATCAGCATTGCTGTCAAATGGCCATCTAGCCTCTGCTTAAAAACCTCCAATGTTACTCCAGCTAACAGAATTCCGGTTTACTTCTTGCATTTCCTTGCACATTTTGGGAACTGTTTGGAGTTGGCTCCGTTTCTGTTTATATGAACAGCTGGTTGGCATTGCAAGAGATTCAGCAGACGGCCCTCGTTTTTTCCTTCAGTCAGAGTAACCCACTGAATCAATATAAACACTACCGATGTATATAGTTGCGTCTGCCTTTCTCAGGGGTCCTTTCTTCATTGAGATCTTTCCACTGTTGTATTGGCCTTCCGGTATTGAATGGAAGTGGAATTATCCTGTGGTTTCACAGACTTAATATTCCCCTTACAAGCCTGCAATAACCATCCCAAATGTGGGTGACATTATGGAAACCCAGTTAGATTGTCTCCAGGGAGGGAGTCCCACCCCCTCTCTGTGCAGCTGGTTAATACAGGCGGGCTTTTCCATCCAAGCACTTTGCAAATAAGTGAGTCCTGCTTCTCCAAATGGGAAAAGTTCAGCATCCTAATCAATTTGAGCCAGCTTTCCCTGGTGCTTCTATAAGAGGATTTCTCTTAATTGATCTGCTGGTTGCACTTTTACATGCTAATAGAACTGACCCTTAGAAGCAAAAAATCCCTTAATAATTGAAGCTCTTGCATCTCCCCCCCCCCCACATCATTAGAGTAAGCAGCCCTTTATTCATTTCCTGGTCTTTGAAACCCTACCAATTCTCTATGATTTTTAGTTGCTCTATCAGTCATGTCTTTCATTGTTGTACAACAAAAGAACTGACAATATTTTTAAATACACATTTGCAAGCAATTTCCCCACCACACCTGAGCTCATCCTCCCTTTTAGCCATTAATGTAATGGGTCCTTTAGTTATTCCTTCATCTTATTTCTTTGTTGCAATCCTACCCTCAGCCCTGTAGCTAGAACATTTTCAGGAGGGGGGCACTGCCCCCACGTGCATATGTCACTTCTGACTTCACTTCTGGAAGTGATGTAGGCACTTGGGGCCCATTTCTGGCTACAACCATCTGGTACTGTGCCCATTCCATCTAACCTTCCTTCACCGCAATCCCATGATGAGGGATGCCAGGAAGTCCCTGTGCTCCCAGAAGGGCGCCTTCTGGTGGGTGCAGTTGCCTGGTGCCATCGGGCTGCTTCCAGAACCGGGCGCCACGCATCCCTTGGCCTGCTTGGTGCCCATGCCACAGCCCAGAGTCTCTCTCGGTTGGCACTCAGGCCAGCTTGGTGTAGTGGTTACGAGGGGTGGACTCTAATCTGGAGAACCGGGTTTGATTCCCCACTCCTCCATATAAAGCCAGCTGGGTGGGTCAGTCACAGTTCTCTCAGAACTCTCTCAGCCCAGTCTACCTCACAGGGATGTCTGTTGTAGTGAAGAGTGGGGTATTACACCAACTCCTTGTTCTTCAGGAGAACCAGCTGGGCCACAGCTCCAGGGGCCACCCCAGCGTCCCTGATGCGGGGGGCAGGCTGAGTGAGCCCTTTGGCTGGCCAGGCGGTTACGTTGCAGGCTCATGCCATTCCTGGCTGCTCTCCAAGCAGCGGCAGCATGGCAGCTGCTGCTCCTTGTTTTATTGGCTATAGTACTCCCCAGAGACAACCATTGATTTAGTACATTTTTATCCTGCTTCTTTTCCTCCAAGGAGATCAGGGCAGCCATACGTTGTTCTCTGCTCTCCCATTTTGCCTTCTCAGCGCCACTGTGAGGTAGGTTGGACTGAATGTCTGTGACTGGCCCAAGATCTCCCTGTAAGCTTCCATGCAGAGTAAGGATTTGAAGTTGAACCTCTCTCTTCCAGATCCCAGTCTGACCCTCACTGCCCTTAGCCAGCCTTGGCTGGGAGGGCGGGGTAGGAATTTGAGAAATAAATAAATAAATTGCTACTTAATGAGCCGATAGTTTGTAGCTCAACTTACTGAGTGAGGGAAATTTTTTCTGTTCCCCTCGTTCCCCAGATTTCTGCCTTTCCAATAATTCATATACTGGCATGAGGTAAGTTCTCCTTTCCACTTGGGTGAATCATTCAGGTAATTGAATCCTTGTGTGGCAGTAGGGTCGTATTCATTCATTCTCATTCATTCATTCATTCATTTACTTGTTGACTGATGCAGTGGGGACCCAAGGCAGTTTACACTGGTCTCTCCGCCATTTTATCCTCACAACAGCCCTGAGGTGTGTGACTGACTGAAGGTCACCCTGAAAGCTTCCATAGCACAATGGGGGACTTGAACTCGGGTCTTCTAGATCCTAGTCTGGCATTATAAGTAGTAGGCCACACTGGCTGCCTGTGATAAGTTAACCACCTGGTGAAAAGTCATCTGTAACCTTCACCAACTGTAAGCCCCATTTCGTATGCTCCTTTTTCCAGAGACAAAGAGAAGTTCTGAATGTCTGACCTTTCCACCCTCTATACCTTAGGAAACCAATTTTTTAATATAATTGTCATCCTGATCCGCCTCTTGGGGTTGTGTCTGTGTTTAAGTAAAAACAAGAAGTTCATCCCGGCTGACTACTACTTTTTTGTTGCTGTTATTTTTATTTACTGTACATACTTAAAATGTGCTTCCACCTGTGCGCACTTGGATGTAA